TCTGGGTGTGATTTCCTTAAATCCTGACCCTGAAGGATTCATAGAGAAAGTAGACGGTATAGTTACAATGATGTGTAATAACTTTTTATTTTGCGTTTAAGTAGTACAGTTACTATGTCACCCAGATGCGTGGTGAGCTTTATAGAGAACATATTGATTACATTTTTCTCACTACTGTTATAAAATATATCTCACACAGGAAAGTTACAGCTAACAAATAGCTTTTTGTTTTCTTTTTTCCCCTTTCTTTAAGCACGCATATCTTTGATTTCCATACAAATGCATTTCTAGATCTGTAGGAAAGTGTTTTTTTTGGGGGGGGGGGGAAATGTTTTCTCAAAGCTATTTTAATTCCTTAGGTCAATTTTTAATGCCACACATATTGTCATTTGAGGACATATCTGAGAGAGCAAACCCAGAAAATATATGCATTAGTTTTTATCTAAACTTTTCAGTGGGACACTAGCATTAGACTTTGTTTACAAAATTCTCAACTAGCATGACTTTGAATAATAATTTTGAATAACTTTTATGTAATACAAAACTTATTTATTCCATACAGTGAAACTGGTTTCAATAAATATTTCCTACTTTACCTGTTTTATATATTTTCACTTTGTTTAACTCTAAGACATACAAAAAATGCCAAATCCATCCTCATTTATTTTGCTATTTGTAAACAGATTAAAATCCAGATGATACATACTTTTTTCTTGTATTATTTCTAAAATTTTATTTAAAACCATTGTCTTCCACTTATTGAACTTTAAAATTAAAATATATGGATTGCATTAATTCTAGAAACCTGAAGACATTTATCTTTCCTGAATTTGTTTTTAAAAATTCTCTTAAAGTCTAAGCTGTTTGTTATTGTTTGTTTATCACTTGTATTGGTCTGTTAATGTGTAAAGTGCTTTACTTTTATCTCATTCCAATGATCTGCAGTATCGTCTTTATTAATATCTCTCTGCTGGAGGGCAAGCCATATTCCAAATACAAGATTCTGTACTTGTATTTCTCAGACCAGATATATTGATAGCTCAATACAGAAAATCATGCTTTACTTCCAGCAGTTTAATGCCTTGAACACAAAATCGGTGTTGCCTGATTATCTCTTTCTGGTGGAAAAGGTGAGCTTTCCACAGTGATTATAATAATTTAGTACAGATTGATCCTGCTTTTCCTCCAAAGAACTATGATTATAAATCTGAGTTTGCCACACCCTGTTTCCAATTAATCCCACTATCAAGTAGAACTGGATCAGGATGCCCTAAAAAATGTTAAGTGTGGATTAGGATTCAGTATCATGATTCCCCAACTGGGTGTCCTCCAGATGTTAGAACCACAATTCTCAAAATTGCCAGCTTAGTTAACCAATGGCATGTTTATTAAGAATTGGAAGAATGATAATCCCAATAAACATGAAGGAGTACAAACTGAGGAAGATTGCTCGGGAGACTGTCCCAAAGTGCTTTTTCCAAAAGGTAACTGCGCTTTCTTGGGTTTTTTCTTTGAAACCATTTCATTTATCATTCAAGAAGGTTCCTCAGCTCAGTTCAGAACTAAAGAAGCTTCTTGGATGATAAGTCTAATGTTTTTAAAGAAAGACAAACAAGCAAACAAGAAAGTCTAGTTGCTTTTTGGAAAGAAGCACCTTTGGGATAACCATGACCTGAATCATTGAGAATCCCCATAGACATTTCACTCTGGGACTGCTGCTTACTTGTAATAATTTTTATAACAGCATTCCATTCTTTTAATGTTCTGCAAAGTTTGTCATTTTATGATGAGGAATCAAAACTTTTAAAATACAGCAGTATTCTTACAATTTATCATAAGAATATATTTGTTCTTTGATACAGTCAGTTTTCCTGATCCTTTTTTTATTCAGTTCAGCTCTGAATCTTTCTAATAACCACAAGATTTTTTTTTAGAAGAGATGGTATAATTTCCAGTTAGATTTAGTTGTATCCATTGAAAAAAAAAAATCAAAATGTCTTTAAGTCCCAAGGTTCGTCCTTTCCATGTTTTGTTCCACTTTAAGCATTACCCAGGATCAAAAGATTGCCATCTGCTGACTGCTGGTATGTTGTTAGAAACATGTGTAATTGATAACTGTAATCAAGAATAGTTAGACCCTCTTTCTCTTTCCCACCCCCATCCCTGCCTCAGTTCACATGGGCAGGCTTGCCTACGCGGTTTGGAAATAAATCATGGTAAGCCAGTAAAATCTTGGCTAAGAGGGGATGAAATTAATACATATATTTTTGTAAAGGTGCCTGTTCACAATATCGTCCAGTTTCACAGGAGAGTTTTCAAATTTGTGCAGTAATAAATGTAATTATTTTGGGGCACGGCATAATTTTCATCAAAAATTATGAAAGTTCCTGCTCAGTATTATTTTTATTTTTCCTGCTAGTAATTGGGTGAAATAATTAACATTGCTAGACTGTATTTGCTACCGTGTATTTTGATTTACGAGCTGCATGTTATGAATGTTTTGCAGAATACAATAAAAATCGCATTTCTAGATTAGAGTATTTTAAAATAATTTACATTCTTTGCTTCAAGTATGTTCCATTTGCATCTTGGACTGTTCTAATGCTTCACAGCTGAAAAATTGGAAGATTCAATATGATGCAATTAGGAAAAAGTATAATTATTATATAGATATATAATGGAAATATAAACAATGTGTATTTCCATTTAAACAGTCCCCTGTTTTTCTATTTTCTAATTCTATTAATGTTTGTTTTGAAATTTAATTAATTTTCCATAAATAATAAAATAATATCCTTAGATTGAATAATTTCATTATGTAGATTTAGAATAACATGTCATCTTTATAAAGTAAAGTGGCTTTTGTTTACTGGTTTTGTTTTGAATGTAAAGCATTCACAAGTAAGCACATCTGTGGCAATAATGATTTGAGGATAAAAGGACCTTGTGAGGAATAGTGATTTGATTATTTATTTTTTGCTACTGCGACAGAAACACTATTAATTTGTGGATGCTCTTTTTATATGCTTTGTTTAAAAGAAAGAATGCACTTTTATCAGTTGTTCAGAAATAATTGACAATACGCTGGGAGAAATTACTCAAAAGGTAATTCCTTTTAGACTTCCTAAAGAAAATATTAGGACAAATTTTCTATGCAATTGTTTTAATACTGCCGTGTGAGCTCAATTAAAACCCTCTTTATTCATCACAATTCAGCAGAAGTAAGCTGGGGTTGTAGCAGTCTTAGAGTAATTTTAAATGTGATACTAGAAACAGCTTGTGTAAATCATAGCTTGTAGAAAAAGATTTTCTGAAACATAGTAAATGCTTTCACCAATGCTGATTTCATATTTTAATTAGCAACTTGGAAAGGCAAAAGTAAAACAGGCAATTTAAATTAATTAGATTAATGACAATAGCTAATTATTTCAGTAACTTGTAAAAGTTAATTTTTCATGTAATTTTTTTTTTACCAGGATAAGATATAAGGTAGCTGGGTCATATTCCTTGGGTATCTTCTTAATTAATCTTTGCTATTCGGAACAATTTCATACACACACAAATACATACAAATTTTTCTTTAAAAACAATATTTTAGGTTTTTTTCATACCTTACCTCTAATTTTTATATAACCCATATATTTGTTTGGAGGCAGCTTTTAATATTTATTCCTAAAATATTTTACGATAAATGCTTCTTTATCAATAGAATTGTATGCAAGTTGTCATTTCAGTAAATGGATAAAATTGAATCCAATTGCCTCTGACCCATAGATTTTGAAGGGCTGGTTCTTTTCTATGAACAGAAATGTCATTGTTTTCTTTCCCGTGCATTCACCCTGAAAGTTTGCACTAGTAGGTGAAAAGGAATTCATTTTCTCTGAGCCAATCCCCTCTTCTGAACTTCTGTGTTAATCTTTTAAAATAAGATTCAGTTCTGATCCTTATTTCAGTTGCCCTTTGCATCTGCCTCTGTCTAAAGCTTTAGAGGCATTTGAAGGCATCTCAGCAGTGGATAACTGATACTCCTGCCATGTAAGTTTGCATTTTGTGTTTGTAACTTCAGCTATTAAGGCTGGCCTTCAGTGATCCTGTGATTCAGATAGCTTTCAGAAAAGACGTGGTTAGCTTTTGAAGGAGATAGTGTTGGGGATTATTGCGACGAAGTAGTTGGTTTTATCCAAATTTAGGAAAATCATGTTTAATTTTATATTGGGGAATGCTGTAACATAAATATAAGATACATTTGTATAACCTTGTTATGTGGGTGCATACTGCCTTTTTGGAGTGACAGGCATGTTATTGCTGCAAATGACAGGCATGTTATTGCTGCAAATGCTGTTAACAATACAGTTACCTACAATTTCAGAACTATAGTTCAAAATGCTAAATGTATCAAATAAGAAACTCACTCATTAAATGTTCTGGTGAAAAGGGACAATCACAATCGTATCACAATCATGCCATACTGGCTTTTATACAATGGCCTAAATCAATAAAAATAATACAACTTGAATTTTGTTAATTATTATCTGCTGCTGTTTTGTTCTTTTATTTAAATATCTATATTTCTTTGACCTCTTTTACTTCAATTACAGCTACACATTTGATGTGTTCCAAATAAAATGTTCAATTAGAAATAGTATAAGAGTTATATAGTGCAAGATATTCCAAAGCAGGATGTAGCGTTGTCAGGTTTATTCACAAATCTTACTGAAATAAGGCCATCTACACAAGTGAAAGTATTCTAAATAGATGGCATTCACATAAGTTTAGTGTTTGGTATTCAGATTGTAAAGAGTGGAAATATACCACATACATTTAAATTTGAGAATACATATACAAACACACAATCTTGCCAAGTTTCTCTTTTAGATAATGGTTGATGCCTTTTTGTCTCTACGAGCACTCTGTTTTTATCAACCTTTGGTTTTTGTTGCTCATTTTTTTCATCCTTTTTATTAAAATATAAGATACATTCTGTGCTTTTTATTTTACAGCATTACCAATGAAGCAGGAGCCTCCATATACAGTGTTAGTCCAGAAGCTTGTAAAGAGATGCCTGATTTAGATCCTAACCTACGAAGTGCAGGTAACTCTTGCTTATATTCTCACTCCTTTCAGAAATAGAATATATGTGTGTTATAACCATTAAAAGAGTGACTTGAGCTTTAGACAGAGAGATGTTCTCCTTTTGTGAATATTTACTGAATATGAAATTCTGAACAGTTTTATAAAGCATACAAATACATTATAGGAAATTATATATAATTTCTTTTATTTATTGTTTATAGATCTTGAGTACATTTGTTGGCTAATCCAACATATGCTTGAGAGAAAAATCTGGTCATTATTTACATGCTGTTACATGCCATTTACAAATAAAAAACTGTAACTAATCCCATTATACATAGCATAGCATACCTTCTGTCTCTCATTGTATAGGACTTAGTATACAATATTTTTATCTTTATTTTATTTATTATACCTGTTTCTTAAATGAGAATAACTAGAATAGGGAAATTAATAGAGGAAGGATGAATGATGAAATACGCACTTTTCTTTCTGTTTTAATAAAGGCACTTGAGACCCACGTACTTTTATAATGATAGAAATTTTCAGTCTTCCATTCTTTTTTTGTTTTATCTGCTTCCCTAGAAATTTCGGCAGATTTACATCAGAATAAATGGATGATATGGAATGAGCTGAGGTATAAACGAGCTGTAGGTTTTGTAAATCAATTTCAACTTGAGGAAAGAAAGTTTTGTAGGATTCTCCTTTACATAAGCACATATTCGTTCTTAGTATTTCCATTGGCAGTCAGAAACATACGTGATCTTACATAATGTTATTGAAAATGTGGTTGCAACTCTATATCATTGAAGTTTTACAATTTATTTCTACATTTTTCATGATCTGTCTCTAGACCTATCACTTTCAGCAGTTTTCTAAAATGGAAATGAATATATTTCATTTTAAGCCATATTTTTCTTTCCCAAATTGATTGAAAATTCCCATACCAATCAATCTAAGGAGCATCAAGTTGGAGAAAACTATTTATACTCTTGTTGTCAGTTATTTTGTTACACTTAAACTACATGTTAACTTTGTGTATTCCTCCATTTTTTCTTATTAATTCATATCTGAAAAATATTGTCACGCAGTATGTAGTCTTTTTAGGAAGGTATTTAATTCCTTCTAAATCAAGGTGCTGTCAATCTTTTGGTTTTGGTTCAAGTAACTTTTCGTCTGGCCAACTATATTACTTTTCTTTGATATTTTTTTAAAAAATGCTTTAATTTTAAACAACCTAGTGTTGGCCAGCCTTGATTAATTTATTCTTTAATTCATTGAATGAGCGAATGAATGAATGAATGAATGAATGAATGAATGAATGAATGAATGAATGAATGAGGCATTACTTCATAACAGAGACCAAAATGGAGCACACCTGCTATGACATCTGTTATCAGAAAGATTGGAAAGAAGTCCAGAAGTTATGTTTAGCATACTTTTCCTACCTTATGTATTGAGCTGTAATGAATATGCATGCCTGGCTTGAATTTGCTTGCAGATATGTGAATAATTTAATCACAAATATACTTTTTACCATGTTTTTAATTAAAACTGAATGAATATAGAATATATTAGAATATATGAGTTTTTTAGTTCTATTGATTTATCTCTCTTCATGAAAATTTAATAAATGGAATTTAAGTTGTTTAAATCAAAATATCAGTTTATTTGAGCTCAACCAATCTCATTGTACATACGTTGTGCATTGATAATAAAGAATTATTATTGTTGTTGTTATTGTTATTATTATTAATCCTGCCAGATACATACCTATTGAAATGCTTTATATTATTAGTGATCCAGACGGTTCTATTTCAGTCCCATTTTTTCTGTTTCAGTAGTTCAATCCTGATTGCTGGCTAGGAATCCAGATAACAGGTGTAATGTGCTGTGCCTCTATACCATGAATATTAGAGTCTGAATACTTCTTGTAACAATTAGGGAGAAGCAAGTGTGGTGGAAGAATTCTCCTTTGCCAAGCAAATAACACATGCTTTATCTAGGCAGAGCTGAATGCTGATCAAAGATAAACAGACAAATTCTATGATCTAAAGAACCAGAGATATTATGTTAATGTTGGTAGACTTGTGAGAAGAGATAGAAGAAAAGAGAAGATAAATAATTAATAGTTGTAGAAAAATGGCTTGAAAATTATTATTTTAGTAAAGTGTACAGTATATGCCAAATGTTTTTGTTCACAAATTTGTAAATTTCCGAAAGAGAATGAAATGTGCACTAATTTGCAGCCGTATAGATGACTGTACTATAATACCAAACAGCTGTTATTTGAGAGTAGCAAATATGGGAATTTCTTCCTATATCATTTCTGAAATCTTAATCAGCATCTTTCTTCCAGATGCTGGTGACTGCTCTTACCTGAAAATAAAATAATCATTTTTTATCTAGAAGTAGTTAATAAGTAGGTTTGAACAAAGAAATTCCTAATGGCCTGTTTTAATTTAGTTGGATTAATTATCCTGAAACTCCTTCCTTCCTTCCTTCCTTCCTTCCTTCCTTCCTTCCTTCCTTCCTTCCTTCCTTCCTTCCTTCCT